AATTGTTTAAAACATATTCAACTTTTAAAAAGCAAGATTTGTATAATTCATTTTTATTAACTTTCATATCACATTCAGTTCATATATCACTTTTCATTTTTCAAAACATTTATACTTAGACTGACATATATATGTACGCGTGTTTGTGTATGTGTATATATATATATATATATATATATATATATATATATATATATATATATATATACACAACCAGCTTTACACAATGACAGACACTTTTATCTCAGATTTAACACTATGAGCACCAAAATAAATGCAATACACAATTATTTTTTTTAGAAGTTAAATTCATCAAAGTCTCTGACCATTCTTAAAGTCACAATAAGAGTTTATGTTTTAGAGTCCCACTGAGCTTTGCCATTCGTGTGGTCAACATGGTGAGGTAAGTGCAGCCCAAGTTTATAGTTAGGTGTGCGGCAGTCAAGACACTTGGACTGACATCTAATTCTACCTCTGACATTTTTGTGCTTGGAAGTTTGATTTTTATTGTCATATTTTCACAGCTAGATGTAACTGATGTCTTGTTACCCATTTGTAAAAATATATCCTCGCTCGTGACTGATTGACTATACAATATATCATACTCAGACTGAGGTCTAGGATCATCTATTACATCAAATTCAGAACCTTCTGGGACTTCATATTCTGACCAGATATCTTTACTGTCAGAATTCTGCACTGGTGCGTTATCTTCAGATGTTTTCTCTGGTCCAATATGACCTGGACCAAACTAGATTTCAAGGGATCTAAAATTTAAAATTACAAGTATGTGACCAGTTGAGGCCAGTTAAGCGGTGGTTTCATTTCTTACAAAATTTAGCCGGTCATTTAGCTAAAGCTTTCCTTAACATTTTAAAGGAAATTAATTTTTCAAAATTAAAAAAAAAGGTATCTGGTTTCGTTTTTAAAATGTTCTTCTTTGATCAACTCGTTTATGTTCATTAAACTTAAGGAAGAACGTTTTATAATTTTAAAAATGGTCCAATTTGCTTTTCGGTAATAGTGCGGTTTTTTTTTAAATTTCGTAGACATTGTTTTCGTCAACTTGTTTTTCTCCATCTATACGTGCCGTATCCAACTACGGATCATTACTTGTTGAGATCAGGCCTACCTTTCTGTATCAGCAAGTAAATACAACACATCTGAGGATGTGAATGTCGATATATCGCTAATATTGTACATTGAGCCATCAGAGATAAGTGATAGGATCATGACGTTGTACGTTTTTGTACTTATTCAGTACTAGTCTACACCTCCCACAGTACCAGTCTACACCTCCCCCAGTACTAGTCTACACCTCCCCCGGCACTGGTCCATAACTCCATTAATCTCCATTTCAAACTGTAAACTTCTTTAAAAAAAGTAAGTAGGCTGTATTTGCCTTCAACTTGCAGTCTATATTATACAATAAAAGGGGAGGTAACTTTTCTGTTAATTTTTTTTTTAAAGAAAAAAACATATTTGGTTTAAAAAATACTAGCTGGCACGTAAAAAAATGAGAAGTTGGTGACTTATTTACAAGCCATATTGTTATGAAATGTGTTGTTAGATGTGAGCGCCGACATAAGAGCGCAGTCAATTTAAAAAAAAAACACACGTTGTACGCTAAACGAATATTTTAATTAAACAATCGGCGGTACGATAAAACGACATGTGTTTATTTATATATTATGGTTAATATATTATGAATGCAGTTTGAAAATATCTCTAACCCAAGTAACATGGAGAAGATATTGGTCGAAGGCTACAGATATCGAAAGGACAGAGCAAATGCTGATGGAAGTACGACTGTAAGAGATGCTGTAAGAAAGATGGCTGCCGAGGACGGATGAAAATGTTGAACGATGTTGTTCTGTCAAGAGTTGGAAAAACCAAGGCAGATTATACAACAAGCCAGAGCAGGAATTTCGATGGAAGTAGTACCTCTTTTGCCGGCATACGTCGCTTCACAACGTGCAATAGAAAGACAGAGAAAACGCAAGCAGCTGCCATACCCAAATCCGCAGAACGTTGCAGAGATAACAACTCCAAACGAGAACAAGAGGGCAAAATTTCGTCTTTTGGGATTCCGGAACGACCGACGTTTACAGAATGATGATGTTCGTAACAATGGATAATATCAATTGTCAATACCAGTCAATACCAGTTTTTTACTTAAATAAAGTGAACAATTAGTTTTTTAATGAAACAGAACAGAGTTAACTACAAACCATTTCTTCCTATCTGAGTTAATCTTCTTGTTTCTATTTATTAAATATGGTTTTTCGATCTTTAGTTTGCGCTCTTATGTCGGCGCTCTTTTGTCGGGAAATTAGCGCGCTCTTATGTCGGCGCTCTTATGTCGGCGCTCTTTTGTCGTGCGCTCTTTTGACGGGTAACCCTTTACATTATTAGTAATTAAAGTTGTTTGCAAGCTAAAATAACAGAAACAGATCGACTTTCATCGACTGAGTGAAAATTGCAAAATGATATTGTCCCTTGATTTTCAAGGGATCCAAAATTTCTATGATTAAAAGGTAACGGCTATATGGTTAAAGCGGCGGTTTTCGATCTGGCAAAATGCAGCCGGTCATTGAGCTAATGTTATTCTACATATTTTAGAGCAAATTAAATTATTCAGAAATCCAAAACTTTTGAAAAATTGACAGAATTTTATGTAATATTAGGTAAGTAAATGTTAATAGCTGCATATTTTATAATACATTTAAAATATCATTTTTGTTTATATTGTACTATTAATTTTGTTCTCACATAAAAATTCCCTATATTGGTTTCTTCCCCTGGTTACAATACATTATAATAGGGGAAACAACTACCAAAACGAAATATCTCTATTCCGTTCAGGGATGTGCCGATATGTATTTCCCGTCAATTAATTTTACGCCACCATGAAATCTAAAATGGAAAATTCTACACATGTCATAGATGTGTCTAGTAGTTAGGTCACATTATTCCTCTATCTTATAGTAGCAAGATAGCTACATTGTCTTCTTGTTTGCCGATAATGATGTGGATGAGGTATGGCGTCTATGCCACAGAGTGCTTGGGTTTCACGATACTGATGTTGAAGTTTTCATTCGTAGATTTTAAAACGTTTCGGTCTGTGGCCAGCTCACAGTTCTAAGAGAGCGTTCTCTAACAGCGCCATTAGTATATACACGTGCATCTACGAGTTCCCTTTGTATAGTTGTTATTTGGTGATATCTTTCACTTCAATGTTTAGCAATCTTTGCGGTTTATTTTTTGTTCCCAGTCGTTCTGATTGCGACAAAAGCTAATATAAGCAATTAATTTTAAAATATTTTATTTGACTTAGTCGTGTGTGGCGGTAAAAGTGTTATGCCGCCATCTTACCTTGCCTACGACACCCACCAGTTACCCACATTCTTATACCCCACCCCATCACACTCACTTTTTGTATGCTATTTCAGCACCCAAATCGTTGGTCATCTGACATAGCGGCCAATCATATCATTGGCTTGACCAACACGTGGACACCTAAAGCACGGTCCAGTCAGGATGGAGGGACTAGCCACGTGATACACATAGTACAGGTGTATATTAAGGTGAAAAAAACCTGAATCGCTTTTACTCTCTTCTTACTGGCTTTTATACGTGGAGTTGAGGGCCGTCGTCCCTACTCCCACTTGCTCTTTGCTATTGTATTATTTACTTAGTTCATTTGTATTTAATGTAAAACTTTTTAATCTTATAAAATATTAACTTTGTGTTTATTGAGTAAAATATAATTTTACTACAGACCGTAAACTGCGGACATTGGGTTGACCCGAGTCATCGGACCTGATTATTAATTTTACTTTGCTCTGTCCGTGACATAGTTCACGTGACAGTTGAATCAGATACTTACTGATTACTATTTTACTTTACAATATTCCCGGTAGAGAAGTGGCTCGGACCCTCCTACCGGTAGAATTCCATTATTTGAATATTTTTATCAGTATTACGGTATTATTATTTTGACCCTTGACATGGGGGCTCTTTGCCTTTTTACCGTTCACATCGATAGATTAGCGTCCCCATAACTTATTGTAATGTCTATCTCAATGTCTTGCTCATTGCTCACTTTGTTTAATTGAGTTTTAAATGCCGTGTTTCACACTGTTGTCAATCATTTACCGCGTACATAGTTTACCTCAACTGTTCTGTTACTAATGTTATACCTTTGTCATGCATTTCCTATAAAGTACATAAAATCACTAAATAGTATATGGTCGTTTCGTGTCTTTGTATTCTTGAGTCGATTCTTGCATTAAAAAATAATAAGTGGGTAGTAGTTGATCTTTGTTGGTAGTTGTAGTTTATTGTTCTGAAGTCTAGAATTGGTGTCATTTGGTTTGTTGTTTAGTGTGAAGTGGTAGTGTCTATGGAACTAGAGTTGCTGAGCTAGTATTGTAATGATAATGTAGCGGGCTGTTGAGGTATCGTACATAGCTGTAGTCTTTGTCGTTGATGGTAGATTTGATCCTAGGAAGTTTAGCTTGGAACTATTTTCGATTTTTCAGCTAGACGATGCCTACCTAGGAGCAATCCCAAGTAGGATGATCCGTCAAGACATTATCGAACTTACGATAATCTCGTCTAACTATACTCAACGATCAACCTACGATTATTCATCTCTCGACTACTTAAATAACATTATCCAAATAAACTTTTTTTTTTTTTTTTAAAACGCCACTACTCGACATTCTCAACATGCGATTTCCAACACACGATTACTCAACCCCATCTACCAATCAACAATGAATCAACTCTCGGCCACACTAAAATGTTTAACTTTCAACTCGTCATCCCAATTTCAAGAGATTTAATACTACCCATACCTCAAGCGTTCAGTCTCCTCACATACTCATACACTTTGATCTTTTTTTTTTTTTTTTTTTTTTTTTTTTTTTTTTTTTAATTTATCACAAATATTTATTACAAATAAATTAATGCATTTAAAATGTATAATATACAAGTATTAATTATGAATGCCACATAAAAACCAGTCAAAAATTACTGTTGTCAAATCTATAAATTATCATAAGAAAATGACCTGCACATATTGAATTTAGCACCATACCATCAGTATTTTAGAAATTCTTGCTTCATAAGTCATGCATTCTCAAAATAATTTACAAAAACAACACAGACAAACTAAGTCTTTAAAATGCAGACATTAAATAAATGTAAAAATTTTAACACTACAAACCACGTGTACCATTAATATATAAATAGTTCTTAAAAATAATGCCAAATTAAAAGAATTTCAAGTTAAATGCTCAGTAAAAAAGAGGCAGTGTTAAAACTTTCTAAGTAAACATGTATAAAACCTATAATGATTGTGGAGTAGTTTTAAAACAATACATTAGAGAGATCTGTACAGAGCAAGATGAGGGGTTGAGAGAGATGAGTGAGGTTTAGAAGTCTTCTTCCAGAGAGAACTGGTGGCTTGTGGGGGATTTGTTCATGACCCCCATCTTCTGGTACTCTCCCACTCTCTTCTCAAAGAAGTTTGTTTTCCCCTCTAATGATATGTGTTCCATGAAGTCAAATGGATTCTCTGAGTTGTAGCATTTTTCACACCCTAACTCCACTAAGAGCCTGTCTGCAACAAATTCAATATACTGTTTCATTAAATTGCAGTTCATGCCAATTAGGTTGACTGGCAGAGCATCTGTGAGGAACTCCTGTTCTATAACTACAGCGTCTTTAATGATTTCATAAATGCGATCCTGGGAAGGCTTGTTTAACAAATGTTTGAACATCAAGCAGGCAAAGTCACAGTGTAATCCCTCATCACGGCTAATCAATTCATTGCTGAAGGTAAGACCAGGCATAATTCCACGTTTTTTCAACCAGAAAATGGCAGCGAAGGAACCAGATAAGGAAAATCCCCTCAACAGCGGCAAAAGCAACCACTCTTTCACTGTATGGGTGCTCTTCATCACCAATCCACTTGATGGCCCATTCAGCTTTCTTTGTCACACATGGCAGAGTTTCTATGGCATTGAACAAAAATTCCCTTCCTTTTGAATCTTTAATGTATGTGTCAATGAGTAGACTGTACATTTCACTGTGAACATTTTCCATAGCAATTTGGAAGCCGTAGAAACAACGAGCCTCTGTTACTTGGACCTCTTTACTGAACCTCTCAACCAAATTTTCATTAACAATGCCATCACTGGCTGCGAAAAAAGCCAAAACATGTGAGATAAAATGTTTCTCTTCGGGCTTCAATTTTTCCCAATGATCCAGGTCCTTAGACAAATCCACCTCCTCAGCTGTCCAAAAGGAGGCTTCTGCCTTTTTATACATCTGCCAGATATCATGGTACTGGATGGGAAATAACACAAATCTGTTGGGGTTTTCTTTCAGCAAAGGTTCTTCAAGAAGCTCCTTCTTGACAACTGGTTTTGATTCAACTTTTACTGGCTGGTAAGATAAGGAAACATTTTTCAATGTTAATCTTGCTGTGAATTTGTTTATGAAAACATGAAATGTTCCATAAATATTTTGAAATAAAGAAAACAAGTTGATGTGCATGGTTTCATAATGTTTTTTTTTTATCTTGTCCCTTAATTTAAAGAGTTAAACCAACAAGGGAATTAAGTAAAACGGTATTTTCCCATCTTTAAAAATTCAGCCGGTCATTGATCTAATGCTTTTTTACTTATTTTAGAGTAAATTAATTATCCAGAAGTCCAAAATGTAACAAGAATGGAGACAATATTACGGAATAACAGATGATTAGTTGTATTGAAAATAATAAATAAACAATTATTTTACTTTATATTGTACTACTACTTTTGTTCATGTGAAAAAGTTCATGAATATTTGTTGCTTCCCCTTGATAAGTGGTCGGCATATATATTCAAATAAAAACATACATATATTTCGCAGAAAAAAAAGTATTAACATTTTTTATCTAGCTCTGCTAGAATAATAAAATCAGTAATCAAAGTATATAACTTTAATTATTGAATACTATATACAACAGTTTCGCCTTGCATGCCTTTTGAAAGTTTGTTTAAACCTGGCTCATAAGTTGCTTTCAGTTTAAAGAAGCCTCTAGATTTTTATTTGTTAGTTGGCTTCTCTACTTTGATTGTATTCGCATGAATATGTGGACCCAAAGATCGTCAGCTCTCCAATCCAAAAGCCAACTTCTTCACCTTACTTTAGCATCCTGCAAGACTATTTCATGCGTAACATAGTAGGGCCTAAACTCGCGGCATTTTTTTAGAGCTGTCCAGTTGTACAGTGAAACGTGCATGTTTTACTGGACCTCCAAATTATCAAACTTGCTCTTGAGATCTGTGAACTTACAGCTCCACAAATGTTTGGTTTTCAAATCTAGCAATTTAATTTGAAGCGAAAAGCATCAATTACAAATAGCTTAAAGTTAATCTCATTTGTTTTTGTGTTGAGAGAATCTAATATAAACGTCAGAGTACTTGCATTTCTTTTGAATTGCTCAAATCTCTCAGTGAACACATACTTTATTTTGTTTATAGTAATGATGAAGTGATTCATGTTAATAGTAGCGTTGGTTTTATCATGATATTTTTTTTAAGTTTTTCGAAATAAAGTAATTTACCGCCCTCCTTGCCTTCAACAAAATGAAGTAATTTTTTTTTGGAAACAATCATCTTCTTCAAGCAAGGCTGGGTTTACCTTTCCATGCAGTTTTACATTTATTTCGTTTAGTTTCTATGTGATATTCGCCATCAAGTTGAATGTTTTAATTTGGGATAGACAAGTTAATAGGAAGTACATAGAATTAGGGCGTAACTAAATATTCTAATGGAATAGCGAGTGTTTATTGTTCATGTTTATTATTTTATCGTTCATTACCGAGTGTTGCAGAACAATATTTTTATGAGTTTTGAAAATAAAATAAAATTATTAATATTTGTGCATGGAGCTTAAGAGCCGTATCTCCACATCAAAAGAGCCGCATGCAGCTCGCAAGCCGAAGTTTGCCGACCCATGCTCTTGGTCCGTCCTGTCAATTTGCCCCTTAATATCAAGAGATCCAAAATTTGAAATTTTTCACCAATGGGATAATAGAATAGTCAAGTGGTTGTTTCATTCCTTATAAAAATTCAGCAGGTCATTGAGCTAAAGTTTTCCTGTCTAAGTTCTTAGGCAATAATCTGTCCATTCTTGATCATTTTGGATTTCTGAATAATCAATTTGCTCTAAAATTTAAATAAAAAGCATAAGTTCAATGACCTGCTGAAATGTTGGTAAACTACAGCTTTATCACGTACATCTGTTTTAAAATTTAAATTTTTGGATCTCTAGAAATCTAAGGACAAGATCAAAGTCTCTTAACAATTTTTGTCTATTTGTCCCTTGATTTCAAGGAATCCAAAATTGAAAATCTTCTTATGAAAGCGGCAAACAACAGTTAATTGGTAGTTTCATTACTTAAACAAAAATTAGTAAGTAATTTTCCTAAAGCTATCTTGAACGTTTTAAAGCAAAGTAATTTTCTCAAAATAAAAAATGAATAAATCAAGAATAGACTTTATCCTTCACTAAATTAAATAGCACTTGTGTATATGATAATAATAAAAACTATTGTTTTCGATTTCACTGTAAAATAATTTTTATTCTGTTGCAAAAAAAAAAATGATTATTGTTTGATTCCCCTGTTTTTTAAATAATGTGTATATGGGAAATAACTGACACAAATAAATATTCTATGTAAATCGATACAATTTTTAACAATTCAATATATTATATATTATTTATTACACAATGTTGCATTAAGCATATTATATTAATAACTAGTGAGTTTGTTTATATGAACGTTTACTTTTACATTCTTGGTAGTCTTCGTTGTCTTCTTAAGTTTTTAATTGTAATTGTAATTGTGATTGTGATTGTGATTTTGATTGTGATAAAGATATTTCATCAAACATTTTTTGATTAACAGAAACCCGGGTATACTGCTAGCTGTTATATAGCAATATGAAGAAAGTTTAATGGAGATTATGTCCGCTTTATATTTTTATTTTCGTCTGAACCACGTAACTTTTAGCGTCATTTAGCTCAGGGGTCTCCAAACTTTTCAGCCCGAGGGCCGCATTAACTATCAAGTATAAGTTCGGGGGCCAGAGTTTCTTCCAGGCATCTCATTGGGGTGGCATTTTACCTTAGCCACCTACAACAAACACTTTTTTTCCGTGGGCTAAAAGATCTCCGAGGGCCGGATGAGATGACCTCGCGGGCCGCATCCGGCCCGCGGGCCGTAGTTTGGAGACCCCTGATTTAGCTTATCGCGTTATTAGCTTTTGTATTACGATTTTCATCAGCGGATTGCGAGGACTTCATTTATTTACAATAATATTTCTTTCTGACATAGGCCTATATATTCATTCCCAAACATATATATTATACTTAATTGCTGAGTTTTGTCTGATGATGTTATTTCTTTGTTTGTTGTCATTTTTTTTTGTTTATAAGTAGTGGAGATCACTACTGCTTTATGTTTTTAATTTTATGTTTGCTTCAGACAAGTAATTCTTAGCGTCAGTTAGCTTATCACCTTGTTAGCTTTTTATTACTATTTTCTTCTTGAGCTTGTGAGGACCGACAGTTATTTACAATAATTTCTGACATAATATACTTTTTTCCCCAGTTATTTACATTATACTTAATACATGACGCTGCGGATTGCTGATTTTTGTCTGGTGATTTTTTTCCTAGTTTGTTTGCATTTTACTTTTTTCCTGTTTGAACTGAATTCGCCACTTTAGTTTTGATGCCGTCCAAAATCGTAAAGAACCCAATGTCTTGTCTCTATTCCGTCCAGGGGTATGTCGCAATAAATTTTCCTTCAGCTAATTTTATGTCTCCATGAAATCTAAAATGGAGAATTTTACACATGTCATGGATATGTCTGGCAGTTATTGAATGTCTTTTTGTGTGTCGATAACGATGTAGAAAAAAGTTGCGACTCTGCCACTGAAAGCTTGGCTTTCACGATAATGATGTGGAGGTTTTCATCCGTAGATTTTAAACGTTTCAATCTGCGGCCGGCTCACAAAATTCTGAGAGTATATTCATGAGTATATCAACGTACATCTACGAGTTCCTTTTATTCAGCTTTTGCTTGCTGATTCGTTTCATTTAAATGTTTAGCAATTTTCGCTCGATCTGAGGGCGACAAAATTTACGATAAGAAATTCTTTATATATATATATATATATATATATATATATATATATATATATATATATATATATATATATATATATATATATATATATATATATATATATGTATATATATATATACATATATATATACATATATTGTTTGACTTAATTATTTGTGACGGCAAAAGTGTTATACCTACATCTTGCCTTGCCTGCGACAACCACCAGTTAACCGCATTCTTATTCACCCACCCCACCCACCCCTCCCCCCTTATTCACACTTTTTGTAAGTTATGTCAGCACGCAGAACGCTGTTCATGTGACATAGCGACTAATCAAATAATTGGCTTAACCAACACGTGGACACCTAACGAGATACGCAAAGGGGAGGCAAACCTTAATCGATTTTATTCTCTTTTTACTGGCCAATACAGTGTTTCTTCCAGACTTTTTTTTCTCCGGGGGCACTTGAAATTTTCGGGGGAGGGGGCGGTCAATGGTAATAGTATATATTTCCTATATACATTCCATTTCGGCCTGGGGGGGGGGCGGTACACGTTCTTGGTGGGGGGGCGTTCCTCGTTACACAGCTCTTTTAGATGAAAAAAAAATATCGTGTCCCTTTTACAAGGAAACCAAAATTTGATGTATTTGAAAATTTGATAACCTCGTTTGTTTAACGCATTTAGCTAGATCCTATTAACTCAACTAGAAACTAGTATTTTAATATAAAAAAAAAGAAATAGAATAAATGGACGCTTCAAACTACATGTCTGAGACAAGAAAAAATGATAAAAGTACTGGTTCATACCAAATTCCTTTGAAAAATTACCCTATGCGCGACCAAACTACCTCACCTATTTAAACATGTTCCCCCTGACAAGCCACGTCACAACACATGTTCCCTCTCAATGTATGTGTCACCTCACCTGTCTGAACATGTTCCTTCTGAATGTCCGTGTCACCTCACCTGTTCGCTTTGATTGTACGTGTCACCTCATCTGTTCCCTCTGAATGTCCGTGTCACCTCACCTGTATGAACATGTTCCCTCTGAATGTACGTGTCACCTCACTTAAAGTGAGAGATTTTAAAAGTGAAATTCACATCAGTTTATGTATTAAATTTTTATCATTCTTAAAGTGAGACATTTTAAAAGTGAAATTCACATCAGTTTATGTATTAAATCTTTATCATTCTTAAAGGGGGACATTTCAAAAGTCAAATTAACTTCAGAGTTTAACAAATAATTCTTAAGTCTTAATTAACTGAAACATTCCGTTATTCTCTCGAGACTAGCAGTCAATAGGGCAGTTGAAGTAGAGTTCATCTGTTTTCGTGAACTCGGCACATAAGAGGGTAGTGTTGTCAGTTATATGTTA